TCTTCTGCGCGCACAAGACCGGCTTCCTCAACCGGATCGCAGTTGCTTCTGCTGTTTCTAGCAAACGCAGACCCAGGGACTTTGGGTAGTTTGGCGAGACCTTGTAAATTACCTTAAAGGCTTCGCTGGGGTCCACACAATGTCTGGATTCAACCATGTGGGCAAGGATAAAGCTATTGATGCAGTAGACTCAGTAAGAAATGGAAAAAAGTGCCTGTAACACAAAAAGATTTTCGTTTAAATCCAGGAAAGATATCAATTCTCTGTCCCAAACCTTTCTCTAACCAGAAGCCAAATCTCAACTCCAACTAAAACGTTACCTCAGCGGTAGATTCAACCTACTCTTTAACCTAAATTTTAGCACTAACATAAACCTCACCGCCCCCTTCCCTGAAATTTGTCCGTAAGGCTGTCTGTGTTGTAAGAGGAGAAGTTATAATCCTCATGGCCTACATGCATCTGTGCTCAGGTTGAGTCCACTTTGGAATCAAGGCTTACTGTATTTGTTGACATACCTGAAGTACTATTCAGCGTTATCTAAATATTAACATACACTCTCTTTTTCTTGCTCTAGGATTCTCGAGCGATAATTGAACGACTTCGAACTGGTAACCTACCTCCTGAAGATGAACCTTTTGAGGATCTCGTCATTGATGATCCTCCCGTAGTCAACCTGGAATCCTACGGAGAGTCCATGCGGAAGCAGATGTCCATTAATAGTCTGCCTACTGCTGTTGTCAATACTGATGATCCTGAGGCTGCTGTCAACGGCAACTCACCGCTGGACACTGTTCTGCCCGCCAACGATGTCAGTTCCAGTCGCAATAAGTATGGAACCCGAGGCCGTCGCATGAGCTCCAGCTCAACAGCGCCCATTTCAGGCCCTGCGGCCCGTCGCCTCAGTACAAGCAGCGTGGCTGCGGGCCAGTTGAACGCAAATGGACAATCCATAATGCGAAAGCTTTTCTCGAGAAGGAGCAAGGTGCCTGCTTCGTCGTAATTTTTTTGGCATACAGTTTGCTATTATTATTATGTTAGCCAAAAAGCGAGCATTTTGGCTCGGTAAATAGGTCAATTCTTGCAACATGTTATTTACCTTCCAATTGCTATCCCTTAACCTCCAGAACATTACAAAATCAAGGAACTATTGTATTTTCGCAAAAGCGAGACACAAACTCTTAACCTCCGGCCGTTTAGATATTAGTATACTAGGGGCTATGCTATCTGCGACTTTGTCTCATGTAAATTACCCTTTACGTTCTGCATCAAAATATCGCCAACAAAGTAATTTCGAACAAATCAGATTAAATATTAGGGCA